TAGTCCATGGGATCACAAAGAGTTGGACACGGCTGAGCGGCTTTCACTTTCACTTTTCACTCACCTGATCAAGAAGCTCAGTGCCCAGATGGACTCTGCGTGCCCTCTAGTGGTTTCATACACACATGACCACCGCTGGCTTGGCTAAGGGGACAGGTCTGTCTTCCATGACTTTATTAGGCCTTGTTTGCTACTCTACACGGGCTTCTTGATGGCTCAGGCTGTAAAGAATCCACCTGCAACGAGAGACAGCCAGGTTCAATCCCTGGGTTTGGTAAGATCGCCTGGGTAAGAGAGCGGCTACCCACTCCAGTGCTCTCGCCTGGAGAAGGCCATGGACAGAGGAACCTGATGGGCCACAGTCCCATGGGTTCCCAAAGAGGCAGACAGGACTGAGCGACTCACACACACACACTACACCATATAGCCTTGAAGCATTCTATACTTCAAGCATTCGGGACACACTATAGTCCTGGAAACTTCTTCTGTATCTAGTAATGACAATTCATCTTTAGCATTAAGACATAGAAAAATATCCGGATGGAGACATATCAAAATGTTAACAGCGGTCACCTCCTGAGGAGGGAAGTTGAACGAGTGAGGGGCTTGGGGAATTCACATTTGCATTTCATACTTCTGAGTGTGTTTTATGTTGTTTGTTTGCTTGTTTAAACAAGTGAGCACATATTCCTGTATTACTTTTAAGTAAATGACTTTTAAAATAAGTCTTTGAAATAGCCCTTTATGGTTTATAGTCTGCTGTTGGTCTGTTACCTCCTTAGAACCATGGCTATCCTGCGAAGTACTTTCCTATTTAGTTGTCAGAGAACTCTTATTGTGTGCCATGTGCAGGCACTTGCCACGCAGATCTATGTTTAATCTTCACAATGTTCCTACCAAGTAGGTGTTATTGCCACCATTTTACATAGGAGGAAATCAAGGCTTAGGGATGTGAAATGAGTTGTTCAAGGTTCACAGCTGTAAGTGTCCAGAGACATGAAATAGAAGCACAGAGATGAAGGAACCTGTCAAGTTCAAGCAAATGGAAGCAAGGGATCAAACCCGGGTCTCCAGACTTCCCCTCCAAATCACAAGATAAACTGGCTGCCTGTGGGGCCCTGGGGCTTCACTTAAGCTTCCTCTGAAGTTCTGTCCTCATGTGCTAGGCAACCATGCTGGCATAATTTAGAGGAAAGAAGGATCAAGATATTCCTATGGGGACCTTAGTGTACTTTAAATTAAAGAAGCTAAGGTGAAAGGTAGCCTTAGGCTATGACTTTATTGAGCTTTACTGGAAACAGTTTGAAACCAAACTGTTATGAAACCAAAACAGAATTTCCAAATCCACTTACATTACAAGCCTGCTAGCTATGTGACCTTGGGTAATTCACTTAACCTCTCTGATCTTCAATTTCTATATTGCTTAAAAAACCCATATAAATAGATTTACATGAAAGTGATCTTGTAAAAGGAACTGCTAAAGCCCCTGATTTAGAATGGGTGTTTAGTAAGTACTCAACATGATATATTCTTGGCCCTGGAAGTCAAAATGGGGACCAAGGTGGGTGCAGATCATCCTGGGGTCATAAGGCACAATCTCCTAAAGGACTTTAAAACCACACGCAGACCCACAGGTTCTCAACTACAGTCCTCTGTGCAATCACCCTCCCCACACTAACCGGCCACTCCCGTCTCTTCCCGCTGAGATTTGCTGCCTGTGGTGAGCATGGTGACAGCCCCAGAGACGTTCACACCTGAATCCCTGGACACCTGTGAATATGCGCATCTACACGGCAAACGAGGTTTTACACGTGTGACGAAGGTTAAAGGCTTCGAGCTGGGGAGAGTATCAAGGGTTATCCGTGTGGGCCCAGTCTAATTACAGTAAGTCCCCTACATACATATGTTCAAGCTGCGAACTCTCAAGAAAACAAACAGAGGTTCATGTATTCAGTCATGTAAGTTAGTTCACGCATCTGGTGCACATTTTCACACGCAGGCATCCTCTACATGTGGCTGTGCTTTTGTGCACTTTACTGCACAGTAGTGAAGAGAATACAGATTATGACGCCTTTATTTCAAGCCCAGGATGTCTGGAGGCGAGCCTAACTGCAGCAGTGGTGCCGCTGGTACCACTGTCCTTCTCAAGGTACTGAAAGAGTCAAAAAACGCTCATGTGTTTGTTGTTTTTTATGTACTATTTGGGTGGAAAGTGTTACAAGCCTAGTACAGTACTATATAGCTGGTTGTGTGAGTTGGGGACCTCGGCTAACTCTTGTGGACTTATGAACAAAATGGTCTTGGGAATGCACTCTGGGAACAGAGCGCGTCCATACGCAGGGGACTTGCTGCTGCAGCGAACTTCTCCCAGCTGCCGTCAGGGAAAGAGGTTGAGGACAGAAGGGTTAGAGAGGGCGTGAAGGGTTTGAAGACCGAGGAAGGGGCCACAGCCGCCACGTCCAGGCCGCCTGGGGAAGCTGATGCCCCGGGGAGCCCCCGGCAGGAGACAGAGCCGCGCTGACAGCTGGATTTTAGTCCGGGAGACCCGTGTCAGACTCCAGACAGCCAGACTCCAGGCACAACCGTCAGAGAACGCACTCTCCTCTTAACGCTGTGGGCTGGCGGTGGTCGGTTCCAGCGGCTTGCAGGAAGCTCACACGTGGCCGGAGGCGGGGAGCGGGTCCCCAGCGGGCGCGCGCGCGTCCTTCTGAGGCGTTAAATGGGGAGACCCCCGGGCCAAGGCGGGGGGATCAGGACCGAGTGGGGCCCTGAAGAGAGAGAGGTTCATTCTCTCTTCAGGGGCGGCCTCGCCTCCAAGGGCCCGGAGTCTGCGTGGGGAAGAGATGCGGGAAGGCAGTTGGTTTGCCCTGTCTCTTTCCATCAGGAAGCGTCTGCAGACAGAGGGGAAGGTGTCAAGGCAGGGACAGGAAGAGGGGGGAGAAGGTAGAAAGAGAACAGGCTCCGGGCTGGAAACAAGAGAGATCCGTGGACACCAGGAAGGGCCGTTATCAGGAGTCTGGGATAAGTGAGATCGGCTTGCTTTGGGGTTTTTTTTGCACAGAAATTGAAGTAACTTCCCTGTGGTAAGAAGTCATGTCTCTTGATGTAGCAAGATGGGATGTGAGGCCAGACCTCCGAGAGTGGAGAAGATGTGGAAATTGCATAGCTCAGGAGAAACACAAACCCAGACACCGGATCACAGAGCCGAACCCCTTGAGAAGGGAAGAGAATTGGGGCAAATGCAGTCAGCAGGGACTCCTCTGGTGGCAGAGCAGTGAAGACTGTGCTCCCAGGGCAGGCGGTTACAGTCGATCCCTGGTCGGGGAGCTGAGACCCCACATGCCACACGGTGTGGCCGAAAACCAGAACCTTCAGTCAGCAGTTTCCTCCCTCCAGAAAGAGCTGCTTGGAATGCAAATGCCTGTCTCCTGTCAAGGCCTGTCCTCAGGAGTGAAAGTGAAAGTCGCTCAGTCGTGTCCCACTCTTTGCGACCCCATGGACATACAATCCCTGGGATTCTCCAGGCCAGAATACTGGAGTGGGTAGCCTTTCCCTTCTCCAGGGGATCTTCCCAACCCAGGGACTGAACCCAGGTCTCCCACATCGCAGGAGGATTCTTTAACCAGCTGAGCCACAAGGGAAGTCCAACATGGGTTTCTGTCGAATGGTTTTGTGCAGTTATTGAGTATCATCGGATCATTTTTTTCTCCATCTTGTCTTATCCTCAACATGCTCACGTTGGGAGGTAATGTGAAGTGGTGGCAGAGTCAGCGAGGTAAATGGGAATGTTTGCAATTAAAGCACAAGACAGAGACTGGACCCTAGTTGCCCACTGTAACCGCCCTCTCGTGAGCCTGGGCCGTCTCTACTCTCAGCTGGGCTTTAGTCGCCTCAGCTGCCTGCTGCGCTCACCGCCCCAGCTTCTGTTTAGTCACCCTCACCTCCTGCAGGCTCAAGCTCTAACCTGGCTGTCACCTGCCATCCCCGAAACAACGGCTCTTCCTTCATGCAGACACCTGGTATTCTCCCCTGCGGATCCCCCAGGGCACATCTGCCATGTGAACGGTCGTCCTGGAGATGAGATCTGTGATGGCCCAGGCTCCCTTAACCTCGTATCTCCACCACCCATCCTCACACAGAGCGATCTCTCCTCCGCGGGTAGGAGGGCCTGTGGCCACCCAGCATCAGGGCCTGTGGCCACAGCTCTCCTCCCGCCCTTTCCACGCGCTCCTCCCCACCCCGGCTGTCCTGGGCACTGTGACCCGCTCAACCCAGATCATCTCTAGGCCCTGACTCTAGCAGAGGCTGCTTGTGGCTGACCTTTTCGATATTCGGCTCCTGTCCTTCCCCCATCCGGTTCCAGCCTACCTTCTCAACCTGCTTCTCCTTATAAATTCTATCCTTCCAACCCCACAACCTTGTTAGTCTCCAGCTGTAATCCAAGGTTTCTGTGATGTGGTTTATAAGAAATGCCTTTTAATATTTGACCATTTGGAGCTGGAGAAGGCAATGGCAGCCCACTCCAGTACTCTTGCCTGGAAAATCCCATGGAAGGAGGAGCCTGGTAGGCTGCAGTCCATGGGTTCGCTAAGAGTCGGACACGACTGAACAACTTCACTTTTACTTTTCACTTTCATGCATTAGAGAAGGAAATGGCAACCCACTCCAGTGTTCTTGCCTGGAGAATCCCAGGGATGGGGGAGCCTGGTGGGCTGCCGTCTATGAGGTTGCACAGAGTCGACACAACTGAAGTGACTTAGCAGCAGCAGCAACATTTGGAGCCACAGTTTCTGACGCACAGCTCACAAAAACCATGGGATTTCCCAAGTGCTGAGGGTGATAAAAGTTGAGGTGACTTTTGGAAAGCACCTAAGAATAGAGGCTGGTCACTAAAAGACACAACTGCCTGATTAAAGGTTGGAACTTTCCATCCCACTCTCTGGGGAGACAGGGTAGAAGGGTTGGAGACTGAGTCAGTTGCCAATGGCCAATGATTTAATCAATTGCGGTCATGCAATGAAGCATCCATAAAAGCCCCAAAAGATGGGACTCGGAGAGCTTTCAGGATGGTGAGCACGTGGAGATGAGTGCCCCTCCACGCACACCTTCCTCTCTGGCCTTTCTTCCCTTGGGCTGATTCTGAGTTACACCCTTTTATAATAAACTGGTGATTTACTAAGTAAAATGTTTTTCTGAGTCCTATGAACTGTCCTAGCAAATTAATTAACCTCAAGGAAAACATGGTGTAAACTCAATTTAAAGCCAGTTGGTCAGAAGCAGAGGTGATAACCTGGGCTTGTGACTGGCGTCTGAAGTGGGGGTGTGAAGGGAAGTCTTGTAGAACTGAACCCTGAAACTGTGGAGCCAGATGTTCTTTCTGGGTAGTGTCAGGACTGAGTTGAATTCTCAAAAACCCTGCTGGTGACCAAGAATCGCTTGACGCATTTGTGGGGCCCTCCACCCCCACTTCCCTGGTGGCTCAGAGGTTAAAGCATCTGCCTGCAATGCGGGAGACCCAGGTTCGATCCCTGGCTCAGGAAGATCCCCTGGAGAAGGAAACAGCAACCCACTCCAGTATTCTTGTCTGGAGAATCCCGTGGATGGAGGAGCCTGGTGAGCTACATTAGTCCATGGGGTTGCAAAGAGTCAGACACGACTGAGCGACTTCACTTTCACTTTCCACCCCCACTACACACAGACACACACGCTGAAACTGCATCTCAGAATGCTAAAGACTCTCCGGTCTCTGCCTTTGCTCTTTGTTTCTTCTAATCCCACCCTCGTTCGCCTCAACGTTGAGGCCAAAATGCAGTCCATTGTTTGAAACTTACTGCAAGGCCACTCCCTCTGTGAAGGCTCTGCTGGTCTCTTCAAGTGGGTTTCATTGCTCTTTCTCCTGAGCCCTTAACGTGTGAATGTTCATGTTCTCTATCCTCTTGGACAAAGGGGTTCTTAACTCATTCTCAGAGTCACTTGGGATGCTCTCTAAAATTATATATGCCTCTGCTCCGCCCCCTAGATTCAGATCCAGGGTCTGGAGCAGAGCCCATTGATGGTGGTTGTTCAGACACTAAGTCATGTCTGACTCTTTGTGACCCCACAGACTGCAGCATGCCAGGCTTCCCCGTCCTTCACCCTCTCCTGGAGCTTGCTCAAACTCATGTCCATAGAGTCAGTGATGCCATCTAACCTCTGTTGTTCCTTTCTCCTCCTGCCCTCAATCTTTCCTAGCATCTAGGTGTTTTCCAATGTCACCTCTTTGAATCAGGTGGCCAGAGTTTTAGAGCTTCAGCATCAGTCCTTCTGATGAATATTCAGGGTTGATTTCCTTTAGGATTGACTGGTTTGATCTCCTTGCAGTCCAAGGAACTCTCAAGAGTCTTCTCCAGCACCACAGTTTGAAAGCATTGTTTCTTCATCGCTCACCTTTCTTTATGGTCTCACATTAGTACGTGACTACTGGGAAAACCATAGCTTTAACTATATGGACCTTTGTCAGCAAAGTGATGTCTCTGCTTTTTACTACGCTGGGTTTGTTATAGCTTTCCTTACAAGGAACAAATGTCTTTTAATGTTGTGACCAGGAAGGATCAAACCTATGCCCTCTGCAGTGGAAGCATGGAGTCTTAACTGCTGGAGCACTAAGGAAGTCCTCCACTTATCTGTGTTTTTAATACAGACTCTGATATAGACCTGAGACTGAGAACTATTGTCTTATTTTGAATTTTTCCTCACTGGGAGAACAAAGGGGAGATTACCAGGAAAGATAAATGGAAAGGAAAGTTTGAATTAGATTTCTGGACCTCAGTTTGGTTACCTTTAAAAGGAGGATAATAACCCCTTCTTCCTTGGTTTATTATGAAGCTTAAGGGAGGCAATATGTAGTAAATATCTAAGACTGAGTCCTACAGGGTGAAGACACTTAATACACACACCCCACTCACTTAATAGTAAAGGCTGCCAGGTTCATGCAGTGTTAAATAAAGCTGGTTTCTGTGATCTTTAACTTAACTGCTTATACTCTATATGAAGGGTGTGTAAGTTACACCCTGACTCCCCTGAGCTCTGGATGCTGAAGAAAGCTTATGGAAATTACTTCATCACTCAGTGGCTTAATGTTGAAGTACTTCTCTTTCTGGAAACGTGGAGATTTTCACCACTGTTGACTCAGTTTACAGAATGAGCACAAGAAGAAGCATTATTTATCCCATTTACAATGCAGAGAAGAGTGCACAAGAGGGTTTACATGCGACTTTCACATGTACTGTCTCATCCAATCTCCCTGAAGCCATGCAAGGGAGATGTTAGTGTCCCAGTTACATAGATGTGGAAGTTGAGGCCCCAAAGAACTTAGACGATTTGCTAAAAGTTACATAAGTAGAAGTGGCAGAACTGCAAATCAAACCCAGTTAGTATTAGTATGATTTCATGTCTGATGCTCTTTACCTTCACCACAAATGATCCTGACAATCATCTGATCATTTGGTCAGAGGGTGGAGACATCCATGCTGATCATCACAGTTCAAAAATGCGTGATGCAGGGAACAAGTTTTCCTGTTCACAAATGATTCAAAGACCCATCCACCTCACTGGGTGAACTGCAGTCAGCGTGTACTCTTGCCTCTACCAGCTCACATTTGCGTTGGCAAAGTCCTACTCAGCTTTGAAGACTCAGGCCTCCCTGAGCACCTTCAGATAGCTTTCCCTGATACCTATGTCACCAAGCTAGCCAGACATATTCTTCTCCTTTTTTCTTTTCTTTAAAGCTCAAGGGCAAGCAAGCTGTATCTATGCAATCAGTTTCTTCTTGGACCTAGAAAGCAGAACAGCTATAAAACATCGACTTGCTGCCTCTGCAGTGGAGTGGCACATTGGATGGTGAGACGAGGTTGCTGCCTCCAGAGGGTGGCATGATGGAGACAGGATGGCCCTTGCTGCTTTTCACTGTCTCTGTCCAAAACTAAATTCCCACCATCTCCTTTACTTGCTCTAACAAACCTTCATTTAAAAAAAGTTAGCTTTTTTTTTATAGTAAGAAATTGCCTTAAAAGGCAAATGGTTCCCAAGTTCACACTAAAGTGGAAATGACTGATAACTGGTCTTTGCCCAGAAGCAGATTTTCAGAGAAGGGAGGGCCTGAGAGAACTCTGTGTCCTAGGCACCAGCAGAAGGGAGGCGTAGACACCATGGAGGTGTGTGTCAGTCAAATGTAGAGAAAGGATTCAGAAAGCAGAAGCCAGAGACCCTGACAACAAGCGTGGCCTTCTCCACCATTGTACTGGGGCTGGACCTGTCATCTGGGATCCAAGTCCAAAATTCTGTTTCTGTTTTTTTTCCTTATATGTATATATTTTTTTTTATTTTTTTTTTATTGAAGGATAATTGCTTTACAGAATTTTGTTGTTTTCTGTCAAACCTCAACATGAATCAGCCATAGGTATACAACACAACATTTACAGAAACACTAGAGAACCGAGTTCACTAAATTTTGGGATTCTTGCCTAAATCCCCATTATGTTCAGGAGAAAGTATATTAACAAACCTTGTAAACAAGACAGTGAATCAAAATAACTCAACATAGGGCGTTCTCATTTAGGCAGAAAAGGTTTTTCCACTAAAGACCTAACACATAGAAAGCCACATCGTGACTAAGCTGTGTGCCCAGGGAGTGTTAACACGGAGAACAGCTTGAACCACTTGGAAAAAGTTAGAACATGGGGACAAGGATCGGATCCCACATCTCTGCACATCCACATTCTGCTTTCCTCTGAGGACAAGCCCAAATTCTACTTCCCTCAGGAAACCTTCCCTTGTTATACCCACCCTGCACTTTCTGCCAGACTCCTACAGTATTTCACTTGAACCACTTTAACTTAGCTCCAGTAACCTAGCACTCAGCACAGCATCTGGCACACAGGAGGTGTCAGGAAATACTTCTTGAATGAATGTAAGAATCTACATCATAAACATTTATCTGCTCTCTAGATAGGTTCAAACCCAAGCCTTGTTTCTTCGGCTTGTTTTAACAGCTGTTAAAAGACTTCAGGAGGGAACTGAAGCACTTACCAAAGCCTCTCAAATAGAGATATTATTGACATATTAACATGTGCTATACATGTTGATATATACATTTATGTGCAAGAACAGCCCGCCATTACAGAATACAGTTGACCCTTGACCAACATAGATTTAAACTGTAGGCCCACTCACACTTGGATTGTTTCCTTCTTTATCTCTCATTTTATTTATTGGAATATAATCGTTTTCCCATGGTGTGTTAGTTTCTGCTGCACAATGAAATGAATCAGCTGTATGTACACACGTATCCACTCCCTCTGGGAGCTCCCTCCCACCCCACACCCCCATCCCCACCCCTCTGGGTCATCAGAGCCCTGAGCTGAGCTCCTGGGCCAGACAGCAGGCGCCCACCAGGCATCTGTTTGATACATGGGAGTGTATGTATGTCGATCCTAGTCTCCCAGTTCATCCCACTGGATTTTCTCAATAATAAATACTACAGTATGACAGGCTTGAGCATTGGTTGAATCTGCCAACACAGAAATGAAGATACAGAGGACCTGAGTATACAGAGGGCTCAGTATAAATTATGTGCAAATTTTCAGTTGCATAGAAGGTCAGCACCCCAACCCGCCCCCTTGGTAAGGGTCAGCTGTATGCATGTATGTGCTTAGTCACTCAGTCATATCTGATTCTTTGCAACCCCATGGACTGTAACCCACCAGGCTCCTCTGTCCATGGGATCCTCCAGGTAAGAATACTGGAGTGGGTTGCCATGCCCTCCTCCAGAGGATCTTCCCAATCAAGGGACTGAACCCAGGCCTCCCGCGTTGCAGGCGGATTCTTTACCATCTGAGCCACCAGGGAAGCCCAAGAATCCTGGAGTGGGTAGCCTGTCCCTTTGCCAGGGGATCTTCCTGACCCAGGAATCAAAACAGGGTCTCCTACATTGCAGGTGGATTCTTTACCAGCTGAGCTACCAGGGAAGCCCCAGCTGTGTGTATAAACATGTGTGAATGAATCTATTCGGGGCCTCTGTGTGGTAGCAGTGGACATGCACATGCAGTCAGAATGAGTGGGACCGAGGGCCATGGTGTGAAAAGCAGGCCCAAGGGCCCCTGCCCAGCACGGCTGCTACACAGACACTCTGTGTCTTTTTCTTTGGGCGTACACAAGGCATCCTGTGCCCCTTCTTGCTGTCTTCTCCATCCACACAAGCCCAGGTCTCCCAGCTGCTGCAGGCCTGGACCTACAGCTCCATCATGGGCCAGCCAGGTGCTAGAGTGGGAGACTGAAAAATAAGTCCTGATGAATCAGTCGTAGCTACCAGTTCATCCTCTCCCTACGATTGAATCCTGGCTCCTCCACAAGGTTAGCACGTGAGTTATATTAGCCATCTCACGTCTCTGGATTTGATTTTTATCTGCAAAATGCAGATAATAGTAGCATCCACCCTCCAAGGCCTTGTGAGCATGGGCCAAGGTCATATACATATAGCACGTAAGTCTGGAACATAAAAAATATTTAGCAAACGATTGTTATTATCATTACCATCAGTATTGTTTTCTGTGTCTTTCCAAAGAAAATCCAGCTGGTGGACTGGGGTTTTCTATTGCATTGATGTCAAAACCACATCTTCCAGAAACTACTCTAGGACCCCCTGATGCATCCAACTTGGTCACAGCACCCACAAGCACACATGCTTCTGACCTACAACAATGGGGGGTAAGTGCAGAGTTTCTCCAGTTAGACTCCTTAGTCCCAAGACACCTACCACTAATTAAACAATGTTTTACTGTTTAAGTTAACACAGCCTCAGTTTCTGACATATCCAGAAATGCTGTTTATTAACTTCAGAATTAGTCTCCTATTCCTTCTCTTTGACAATTTTGCAAAAGTAAATATGTAAAAGCCCCAAAAGCAGAGTAGCAAATTGTACTTTTCTCCATTGAAAGGCTCCCCCATTTGAGGGTACTCGATCACATTATAACATTGCAGAACTGCCAGAGTGTAATTAGTCTGCATTGCTTCACATTCCTGATGGGGCAATCGTTTAAGAGACGGCTTTATAAGGGACCAAATGAAGTGGTGAGTGACATGTGATGCGGTGATCTTCGGGGTACCCGTCAGGGGAAGGGGCAGAAGGCGGGCCGGGAGAGGCAGTCTTTGAAGACAAGGCCATGTTCAGCCTGAAGATGCTCCCACTTCTGCTCTTCCTCCACGTGCAGCTTTCCAGGGCCTTCCCAGTGTCTTCTGCATCCCCAGAAGAGAAAAATAGAAACATTGTTCAGGTACTCAACTATCATTTAGGTGGGTGGATGACTTGCTGGTGATGAGAATATTGTTTGGGTTATCTTCTCTTTTTAGTTGAAACAGCCTGAAGGAATTACGTGAATAATTTGCTTGAGGCTGAACATCTTGTTTCAATGATTAGGAGAGTTCCAAACGGGGCTCTCTGAAAGCCGGGCATGCAAACACGCTGGACTCTTCAAACACTTGGAAAACATGCCCACCAAACTGCTCCAGCTGGGAAAACCTTTTAGAAGGAATGGTTTTAATTACAAAATGATTTTCTTTCTCACTTACCTAAGATTTCCTTTCTAGAATGTCTGCAATGCAGTTACTACATGACTGGTGCTTTCTATATGGACTTGTCTTTGCAGCCAAATATCTCAGGTGTACGAGAGAGTGTGAGGATGGGAAACTATAAGAAACTAGAAATCAGTTCATCATGCGGTCATATTTCCTAAAATCAGACTATGGGGCTGTTTATAAACTCTTGGAAGCATTGTAAAAAGCAAGACTGATAGCTTTTTTCCCATTGTTTAGCAGTATGAAAGTCAGGCCAAGGTTTTAAAGGAACACAAAGGAATGTTGTCAGAAATTTGTCATGAACAATTTTCTTAGCATTACAGTTTTAGAAAAGCATTTTTTTCTTGTTGATTCTTTTTGTTTGACTTTAAAAAAAGATATTTCTTACCATGATACAGTAACCCATGGGATGATAGCCAGGAGTGATTAAGTACTTATTCCACACAGGGTGCCCCGCTCAGCATTTCTCAAATATTGTCTCGTTTCATCTTACAGCAACCCTGTGAGGACAGATTATTAATTCCACTTTAGAGATAAAACTGAATCTTAAATCATCTAAGTTATGTGTCCAGGACACAATTAATCCATGGCAAGCTGTTTTGAACCCAAAGCTATCTGATCTCCAAGCCTGTGTGAGCACAAAATTGCTGTGTCCTGCGTCACTTGCAAAGTGCCACTTCAGGATGCTTAAGGTGAAAGAAAGAAGCCTCATAATTGGCTCATTAACAACTTTCAGAACCTTTACTTCTTAATGAGTTTCTGGCCCCTCTTGAAGAGTTACTGTGGTGGATAAGAGGCTAATGAGAGTGATGCTGCTATTACTCCAAAACATGTTTGGTGTTCTCAAAATTCTCAGTTCTCATCTGGGAAGCAACATGATGAATTGGGACCTGATTATCATCTTGGCAAGTTCCTTATTTTTTTGCTCTTCATGTCAGTGTGAATGATTAACCCTCCTCTACAATAGTGAAAAGAGGTTTAAGAAAGAGAATCTGCATGCTGCAACTAATACTTCAAGAAGTCAATAAATGTTTATGCTGTTTTGCTTTGTTTTGCTTTTTAATAAAAATAAGAAGGCAGTCTCCTAACTGTATACCAGCATTTTGCTTGAGATGTCGATCTTACCCCTAATGAAATTCCTACTTTTATGAATAATATTAATTGTAGCACTGAAGGGATGAACTATTCTTTCCAGTAGGCACTTTTCTGTCAAAGTCAACCAACAAATTTGTGCTTTTATCTTTGCTGCGATCAGGTTATTAGCCCTGGTTTGACCTCTGCACTAACTTAAAAAGGAATGCAAAACCCCAGAGAACTGAAGGTAATTTCACAGCAAATTCCTTCTATGTCTGTCTTTTTCCAGAATTACCTAGAGAAGTTCTACCAATTGCCAAGGTACACATATAAGTCTGAAAGGAAGAGCAAAACTAATGTGATTGTTGAGACACTTAAAAGAATGCAGCGATTCTTCGGGCTGAATGAGACAGGGAAGCCAAATGAGGAAACCTTGGAGATGATGAGAAAGCCTCGATGTGGAGTGCCCGACTCGGGGGGCTTTATGAGAACCCCAGGAAACCCCAAGTGGGAAAAAACTCAGCTGACCTACAGGTGACATTTCTCGAGTGTCAGAGTTTATTCACGGGGCCAGTGTTCACTGAACTCTTGCTGGGTTAGGCACTGATACGGAACTTGGAATCCACTAGAGACAAACAAATGTCCTTGTTCTTACACAGTTTAGATTCTAGTGAATGAGTGAGAGGATAAAGTGGTGAAGATCCCATGGGTTCTTGTCAATCCAAAGCCTGCCACTTTCGGTCTCCTTTCTCTAACAGTCTAAAGAGGTCTGTGGCAAAGTTAGGCTGCCTCTCTAAGAACTCATGTCGGTGGTTCATGGTTTAGTCACTAGGTTGTGTCTGACTCTTTATGACCCCATGGACTGTAGCCTGCCCGGTTCCTCTGTCCACAGGACTTCCCAGGCAAGAATACTGGAGTGGAGTACCATTTCCTTCTCCAGGGGATCTTCCCCATCCAGGGATCAAATCTGAGCCTCCAGCATTTACAGGCAGTCTCCTGCATTGCATGCAGGTGAATTCTTTACCACTGAGCCACCAGGGACCCCCCAAAAGACTTAATCATTGCTGGAGAGAATCTAGCCTCACCTTTCATCCATTTTGATGATATTAACTAATAATGATACCCAATATTCATTGAAGACTACTTTATGCCGAGTAGTGAACTAAATGCTTTATATATATTTACTCTCACAAAAACTTTATGAGAGGTGTACTATTTTACCATCTTCCTTGAATGAGGAAGCTGAGTTTAAAGACGTGTAAACTGTCCAGAACCCAGGTCTGTCTTCAACCCTAAGTCCTTCACCCCCTCCTTATGCACTGTTCAGCAGTAGCATGTTACACGTGCAACAAACTCCAAGCTAGAGCAATTTAATGTACCGAGGGGCTGCTGTTCTGAACAATAATGAGCCTTCTCATTTTGAAGGATTGTGAACTATACCCCGAACTTGACAAGGACGGATATAGAAGCACTTATTGAGGAAGCCTTTAAAGTCTGGAGTGACGTGTCACCCCTGACCTTCAACAGGACCCTGGACAAAGAAGCGGACATCCAGATTTCTTTTGCCCGAAAAGGTGGGCTCAAGGAAGCCAGACGCGATTGTGCTTTCCCTGGCTAACCTGAAACTTGGCAAATACCTAATACAAATTGTTTTATTTCAGATCATGGGGACAATTCCCCATTTGATGGACCCGATGGAATTCTTGCTCATGCCTTTCAGCCAGGCCCAGGTATTGGAGGAGATGTTCATTTTGATGCAGAAGAAACATGGACCAAAACCCCTGAAAGTAAGTTAACCAAGGGACAACATGTAGCTTCTAACTGAGCTTTTTCACATTAGAATTTGCACTCCTACACACACACACACACACACACACACACATTATCCTTATTACCTCAAGATACTAAGTTAATTTAGGTTTAGAAAAAATCTTAAAAGCTAAATCCTGACCTTGTTTCCTAAGGCAGGAATCAGAAAACACAAATCATGGCTAAGTCCTTCCTGTTCCTATTTGTATACATGGAGTTTTATTGGAACAGGGCCACATACTCTTCCTTTTATGTATCATCTACAACCACTTTCATGCCACAATCTCAGAGCTTAGCAGTTGTCACAGAGACCTTATGGCTCACAAAATCTGAAATATTTACTATCTGGACTCTCATAGAAAAAGTCTGCTTACCACTGACTTACTATTTAGGGCAAATCTTTATTTTAATATTGTGAAATTTTATGATGTTTGAAAAGATTTCTACTTTTGGAAATTCAGAAATAATTAGGTTTATTTAGAACACTGTCCTACCTAGGAAAGAGCAGCCATCTACATATTCTTGTTTATCTAGTTATTTCATCTTCATAGAACTATTTTTTCAAAGATATGTTCCCATATAGCAAACTACCCCTTTCAGGAGAAGACTCAGGGTAAGTATAAGATCACCTGAAGGAAAGAACTGGGTATAAGAAGAGGTATATTTGCACCATATGGTACTTTAAAAGGTTATAGGGTAATGAAAGGCCACGGAACACTTTTTTGAAAATAATAAGAAAGGTACATTTATCTTCGCTTGGGACCTGTTCCTGCCACCATTTCCTCAACATCAATGATCTAAGTATTTATTCTACCTAAATCCCTGTGCTTGGAGCTGTGTGTTCACAAAGATAATAAACTCTCCCCATGACTTCAGATTCTTGTTGCCCTCCCCACCAGTTTAGGTGGTCATTACCGCTCACCTGATCCAGAGTCCCACCTGGACTGTTCACTTCTAGTCTCCGTCCCTCTAATTCTCCCCAACACTGCAAGAAGTTTTGTTCTTGGAAAGCCCATGTCTACATTTGGAAAGCCCATTATTTACATTTTCTAGGCCAGATATGTCCACTTGACACTGAAAGCTCTTAGGGATCATCCAGCATCATCTTTCATGGCTTGTCTTCACATTTCACACAGAGCAGCCACACTGCAATTCACTGTTCCCAGATGACAGCGTCTGCTCTCCAACAATCCTGCACTGGCTCATGTCGCTTCCTCTTCCCGAAATGCCCTTGCCCACGCCCAAAGCCCCACCTTTCAAAGTCTCTCTTTTTCCATACTATGTCAACCGGTATGGAAACACCCCATTTTGTCTTCTTCTGAGAATCCTAGTAGCCTTTGTTTTGTCTTCTCTGACTTTCCTCCTCATTATTCTGTGCATTCAAGTTGTTTGCATGTGTCTCCCTGTCTAGTCTATGCAGATAATAAAAATCCCCCAGAGCTCCTTGCCCAGTACTTCAGGCACTCAAAGATGTTTTTTTTTAAGCATTCATGAATGCAAGGTGGAAGGATGTGATGATCAAGAGCATGAGTCTTGGAGCATGGGTAGAATATTCAAGGCTAATTATCATCAGGAAGTGTTGAACACTGTGGTAAGAGCACAGGTCTTGCTATCATAACCAGGTTCAACCCCAGCTCTACCACTTATTAGTTGCAAGATGAATAACAAGGCTTCAAAATCTCTGGGCTTCAGTTCCTTTCTTGTAGAAGTATTATTAGAAATAATTCATAAGAATGTTGTTTAAATATTATTACAGTGACTACCATGTAAGAAAGTGCTCTGCGACTATGATTTTTTTAAAGGAGGCAGTGTTAGAAAATGCACGGCGTGTTTGTGAGACGACATGTAGACCAGTTGGAGGGAAGGGTTCACATCAGAAATCCAGTCCTCAGATCTGCCGGAGCCAAATTCAGTAGTCTTGGACTTGGCAAAGGAGTTTGGGCTTTATTTGACAGGAAGTGCAAGCCTTGAAAGTTTTTCAGTTCCTAGTTATGAAAGGCACAGTACTCATGGAAGTCAAAAGATAAGAGTAGGAACCAATAAGGGGTGGGGTTTGTCTCTTTCTGGTGGTAAATTCCTGATGCTTCCTGGAGAGCTCAGAATCAAGGAAGAGCCGGCGCTAGGCTCTGGATGATTGGAAGCCAAAAGGAGTCAACCCCGCACAGGAGGCCCGTCTTGTGGGCTGACCGGCTTCTTTTCTATGCGCCTCTTCACTGCGACTCTGCTCGTGGTGTGTGGGTCTGGGAGGCTGGCGACGAGTAGGTGTGGGGACATGGCGGGAGAGGGTCTCAGAGTCTTGAGACCTGTGATGGCCTCATTATCATTTCCCTAAACCTCAGGTCCATGAACTATAGAACTAGAAGAAAGGCAGTCTAAGGCCTGATGAGGCACTCATTACTCCCAATCGCAACCTATGACTCCTACCTTGCTTCCTTCCAGTCTCTATCTCACCAGATAATGAAGAGGAAAGGGAGAAGTCAGGTAGTTTGGGCCTGGAAGCTGCATTCCTCGAGATCCTATTCCCACCACCCTTCAATCTACTTCAACCCATTCACCGCACACGCTTGCATTTCAGATTACAACTTGTTTCCTGTTGCTGCCCATGAATTTGGCCATTCCTTGGGGCTGGCTCACTCCTCCGATCCTGGGGCCCTGATGTATCCCAACTACGCTTTCAGTGACCCCAGCACCTACACACTGCATCAAGATGACATCAATGGCATCCAGGCCATTTATGGTAAGGTCATCTTAAGTACATGGTGATGCCTGGGCACATCAGAGATGCTCACTGCAGTCTGCTGTGATGATAGAGGTTGGAGGACACCTGGGAACCCATCAGGAGGAGAACACACAGGGAAAATGTGGTCGATGCAGGCCATACATTAATGTGCAGCCCTGAGAAACTCTGAATCAGGTGGGCACAGATGAGTCTTTTGGAGAAGGAAATGCAGCCCACTCCAGTACTCTTGCCTGGAGAGTTCCATGGATGGAGGAGACTGGTAGGCTACAGTCCCTGGGGTCGCACAGAGTCAGACACGACTGAGCAACTTCACTTTGTTTCTTTCTATAGTTCCTTTTGGAGAAGGAAATGGAAACCCACTCCAGGGTTCTTGCCTGGAGAATCTCATGGGCAGAGGGGCCTGGTGGGCTACAGTCTATTGGGTTGCAAAGAGTTGGACATTACTGAGCAACTAACACACACACACAGATGAGTCTTTAAAACATTGTGATTCCTGGATAAGAAACAGAATGATACATATCACACAGTGTACAAATTACACAATGTGTTGAATCCACACAAATTAAGAATGCATATAGACAAAGCAAAGCATTTTCAAGAAACGTGCTAACAAACATATATTTATACATTTATGTTGAACATACCAGGATAGTTGTCTGTGACAGAAAGAAGGAAGTGGGATGGAGTATGGAGAGATAGAAACATTTTTTGAAGCAGAGACATACTTTTCAGGTTTCAGGGAGGGATATAGAGGCCTTTGGCCCTAAGCGTGGTCTGGACCGTTCCATCTCTCCTTCCTCTTGCCCTGCTGCCCCCTAGTGGCTGTAGGAACAAGAAGCCAAAGAAAGGCTTGCAGCTTTTTCTCTAAAAAAAAAAAAAAAAATTAAAGTGTGGATGGGATAGTAGTGTCGTGGAGTCACATTGGGTAAAACATTCTCCCTTTCTGGTAAGACAGCAGTATCAAAACCAAGCTTGCTAGGGTCTCACAACTATGAATTTTTTTCATGACAGTAGAATTTTTAGGAACAAGGAGACCTAGTCTATGACTACCTCTACTTCCCAATTCCTTTTCCTCTGAAAACACCTCCTTTCCTTGCTTACCCATATTTTAACTGCTTGCAAGTTTAACTGCATTGCAGAACCTTTTGTTCTGCAATGAGAAAATACATTATGGTTTAAATATTTATAAGAAAAATACGTCTAAATTGGACTTAGATTTATGCTGTTTGGCAGAAGACTGATAGATAAGAGCTTCCGGAAGGTGGGTTTTTGTGGGAAACGAGAAAGTGGATACCGAGTGACTAAACATGCAGAAAGAGGAGCCAAGACGGGAAAGAAACATGGGATTCTGATTTTAAACTGGCAGAGGGGGAGGGGGAGAATTCACATTTCTTTGCTTCACAACCTGGAACTGTCCCTAAAGTCACCACTGCTCTGTTTATTTTTATCTAATCTTCGGGCGCGCTGGGTCTCCGTTGCTGCCCGGGGTTTCCTCTAGCTGCGGCGCAAGGCGGCCGCTCTCCGCTGCGGCGCACGGCCTTCTCGCGGCAGTGGCTTCTCCTGCTGCGGCGCACTGTCTCCGGGGTGCTCGGGCTGCAGTGGTCACGGTCCGTGGGCTCACTAGTGGCAGTTCCCGGGCGCTCCAGTGTGAGACGGGCTTAGAGAGACCTCAGCAGAGACCTGCTCCGTGGCATGAGAGACCCTCCCAGACCAGGGATCAGACCCATGTCTCCTGCCTTGGCAGGCGGATTCTTCACCAACTGAGCCATCAGGGAAGCCCTGTGTGATTTTTTAATTATTATTAAAAAAAAAAAAAAGACTTTAAAGAGAGCTTAATTTGTGATTACTTTTTAACAGCTTGTAGGATAATCAGGTAGCATTTCTTATTATAAGAAGACCCTTCAATGACCTGAGACGTATTGAATATACACCCTGGGCTTAGGTTTATAGTAAGTCTTTTTTAAATTTCAGGACCCTCAAGCAACCCTGTCCAACCTACTGGACCAACCACCCCCACAGCCTGCGACCCCAGACTGACGTTTGACGCTATCACCACACTCCGTGGAGAAACACTCTTCTTCAAAGACAAGTATGAGAATGAGATATTCCTTCTTTTGACTTCTTTACTGGCTAACTTAAAACTAGATTCTAAGTAAGTCATACAGTACACATTTCTCAGCTTTTCCTTTGAATTCTATGCATGTGAATCTCAGTGGAATTGGTAGTGCTTTCTGGATAACTCAGAACATCCCAGAAAAGAAAAAATAGTTTAAACATTTGTAAATATTCAGATGTTTCTGAAGATGTAAACAAACATGGGCTCTAACTGTTGGAAATTCTGTGGCTGGGTTTCCCCAAGACCAAAATAGTATTCAGTTCTACCCAGATTCAGTCAGGTGAATGGAAACTGCCCCTTAATAAGATCCGGGAGAAATCATCTGACTGAATTTTTCAGTCTTCCATTGGCTGTTTTGTGATTGTGGACCCACAGGCTGAGAGTGCTTGTATTCTAAATATCCTCATCATATCGTAGCCCCGGTGATGAAAGGGCCTAACAACAGAAGACTTGTCGGTGTGTGAGAATGGCGGTAGCGTAACATGTGACCGAGGTGGACGGGGTCACCACAAAGACTGGTCACATGCTGGCCGCCGAGCTGCCAGCATCGCCTTCGTGTGCGTCATATCCTGTCAGCAGGCGAACAGGGCCACTCCCAGCCCCCGACCCGCAGAAGCCGCCTACGTGGACTGCCACGCGTGCTTCTCTGCTTGTGTTCCACTAGGTACGTCTGGAGGAAGCACCCTCGGCTACGAATGATCGAATTCAATTTAATTTCTCTCTACTGGCCTTCCCTGCCAAACGGCATACAGGCTGCTTATGAGGATTTTGACAGGGACCTGATTTTCGTATTCAAAGGTAATTGCCTGAGGTTGTCCTCTTCATTTAGTTCCTGGTGGAGGGAAGGGCAGGAGGCCTTTGTGCTCTTTCCCAGGTTCAAAGAGGTGAGTCAAGGAGAGAGTGTTGACGCTGACTGCGTTTTTGTCGAGAGACCTGGGTTGGGTCCCCTGTTCACCACTAACTGCTGTGTGAACTTCAGCAGGTTGTACCCTCTTCAGGCATTAATTTCCTCACTTACAAAATAAAAACACTTCGTTAGACCAGCTTTAGCATTCTTCCACCCTCATCCCGGGTATAATTCTGTAAGATTCCCCCAAGGTTCTAGTTAAATCTCTGGATAGCCATCACATGAGATAAGACATCCAAGTGTGGGGCCCTGAATGCTAAGCTAAGAAGTTGGGAATATTTTATTACAGGTGCTGGGGAACTGTGAGGGCTATCATAGCCCAGTGATCTTAACTTGACCACCTTTTTCTTTTCAAGACTATTTTTCCCATTTTTATTCCTGTGATGAGTTTATGCAAAGGTTAAGAAGTGATACACATTTTGTAGGAATGGAAAAACTTTATCTGACATACAACCTGAATCATTGACAGGCACACAGTACTGGGCTCTGAGTGGCTATGACACTCAGCAAGGTTATCCCAAGCATATATCAAACTATGGCTTCCCGAGCAGTGTCCAAGCAATTGATGCAGCTGTTTCCTACAGAGGAAAAACGTACTTCTTTGTAAATTACCAATTCTGGAGGTAAGATTTGTTTCCATTGGAGATTGAAATCTGTATTTTTCACCCTGTCTAGAAACCATCCATGACCAGGTATCTGAAGGTTTAACATATCTAGATGGTCTCTGATAAGCATTCTTTTTCACAAGATGATTGATGTTGCTATGGGTTTTGAGATTTTCATAAAGTTAAGACGCCTGCACAATGGTATTGAGCATGCTATATCCTGAAAAAGAGCTAACTTTAATAGAGCACTAAAGTGGGATACAAGAAAGAGTTAGGCTAAGTCTCATTTATTCATGAAATTCTGAGAGTTAAATTCTACACTCAAGCAAATGTTATACTGAACTTGATCCCCAAGTTGAAATTATTATTTATATTTATTCAGATAGAGACGATGAATCAGTTAAGTAAAAACCTTAGAAACATAAACTCTCTTTTTTGAAAATAACACTGCACCAGCAATCAGAAATCTGCCTTAGTATTAGTGATACTGGTATATTTTATAAATAGGTATGTACCCTTAGGCAGAGAATTTAACCATCATTAGTTCCAGTAAATAGGATATTGTGAAGGACTAATGAGAAAATATGTGTGAAGGCACTTTTTAAAGTATAAACAATTTAAAGAAAATCATTATCATTGTATATTGTATTGGTCTTAAACTATGGAATGATTTTTTTCTCATCAGATATGATGACCAAAGTCAATCTATGGAACCAGGCTATCCCCAAAGCATAGAAGAATTTTTTCCAGGAATAAATAGTAGAGTTGATGCAGTTTTCCAGGAGAATTGTAAGTAGAAAATGAACTTAATAAATTTGTTCAATTTTTTTAAATAGCTCATTTGCATTTGATAGTTATAATAGGACTGGAGTGGGGTCTTTTAATTGAAAATATCCAAGATCTTCTACTAGCTAATTCAATACATTGTGTCTTTTTTTTAATATAGCCTTCTTCCTTTTCTTCAGTGGACCAAGATATCATGCATTTGATTTTCATGCTCGTAGAATTACTAGAGTCGGCAAAAGCAATAGATGGCTTAACTGTAGATACAGTTGAAGCAAAATTAAATGTGATTGTATCCATTTTCTGAATATGGAAGGGAAGTTTAATTTGCACATCTATTACACTGTGTCCTATTTATAGTTTCTGAATAATAAATAATGTTGTTTGCTATCACTGTATTCTTTGGACCTGTCCTCAGTGAAATTACATTTGGAGTATCCACTGTTTGCAGAGGTTGATTTGGTTCTCATACATTCCGTCTCATGTTAGTGAATCCATCAAAAAAAGGAGATTAAGTCCTCTTTGCCACCTCGATCAATATTCATTATTTCCTTAACTTGTTTATTTGACTTTTAAAATGCCCATTTATTCTGAAGTCTTTTAAATATGTCTTAAGTATACCTGATACATGTAATTTAGCACTGTATTTTGCTTAGAAGTAAGGATTATGACCACAGAGAAGGAAATGGTAACCCACTCCAATATCCTTGCCTGGAAAATCCCATGGACAGAGGAGCCTGGCCAGCTTTGTGTCCATCGGGTCGCAAAGAGTAGGACACAACTCTTTGAGTGAATAAACAACAACAACAAGTGTTATGAACAACACAAGCAGTACACATTGCCTTGACCAAAAATGTGATGCTATTTTCCACTCTTGGAAGGAAATATTGTTGATACCTGTTGTGGATTGAATTGTATCCCCCCAAAAATGGTATGTTGAAGCCCTCACCCCAAATACCTATGGAACTAGCATCTCTGTTGATGTAATTAGTTAATATGAGGTTATTCTAGATTAGGGAAGGCCTAAAAACTGATGTTTTTATAAGAGGAGCAGACCCTAGATACCCAGTTGAGAAGGCCTTTGTGAAGATGGAGCAGAGTGGGAATGATGCATCTACGTGCCAAGGCTTGACAGCAACCACCAGAAGCTGGGAAGAGGCAAGGAAGGATCCATCCTGGAGCCTTCAGAGAGAAGGACATGACCCTCCTGACTCCTTGATTTTGATTTGTAGCTTCCAGACTGTGATAAAAAAAAAAAATTTTCTCTTATTTTAAGCTACCAAGTTTGTGATACTTAGTTACAGCAGCTCTAGGAAGCTGAAACAGGACAGCTGCACTTAAAGAAATGAATCAGTACAGAAAGACAGAATTGAAACCCCAGTAAAGATGACTGGTACCTTCCCAGGGAAGCAGCAAAAAGGAGGGGTACCACCTCCTCTCCTGCCTCTTCCTTGGCTTCTAGAGTCTGAGCAAATGGGCTAGTTAGATATGTTGTTCTTTATTTCTGTTTTCCCTGAGCGCCTCAAAAGGACACCCTCTACAGAAAACTAGGGTTTGCCACACAAACAGAGTTGTGCTGGGCACAAAATTCAGTAACTCTTATTTAATTGAATTAAACTGAGATGAGATGCATAAATTTGCTAATGGATTGATTTTCTATTAAGAACTTTAAGATTCGTGGGATCATAACGGTTAGTCCAGACATTAAAATCATTATAATATCCAGGGAGCCCAGGCTGGTGCTCTGTGATGACCTGGAGGAACAGAATGGGGCGGGGGAGGGAGACTCAAGAGGGAGGGGGCATGTATATAATATGGCTGATTCATGTTGACATACAGCAGAGACCACCATAGCACTGTAAGGAAATTATCCTCCAATTAAAAAATTATTATAATAAATTGGCAGTCATTAGAATGCAACTAATAAGCTGCATGTTATGTAATAACATAATAAATATGTGAACTATAAAATATATTTAACACTATCGTATACTTTGTTCTTTTTCTGTTAAAATTTTTAAGCCCTGCATATGATTAATTTAGTATAATTTGATACTTAAATTTGGTTCAAACTTTATCTATTAAGTGAGTTCAAAATAAATATTTTAAATGACTGACTTGTGATCTACTGAATTTCTTAATATACTACCACAGTTGATCTAAAGTAAAAAAAGAGAATTTTCAATATATTTGTGTTTTTTTTTCCCTTATCAGAAATATTACACTATTGATATTACACTTTTAGATATTGCTTCATAGGTTAATGAAATATTTTGTCAGTATTCAGTGTCTTCAAAGAGTCTCTTTAGTATGTCAATACTTTATTCTCAATTCATTTTATAAGATAAAATAGAAACTGGTATATACTATAATTTCATTTATTCACTTATTCTACAATTAATCACCTACCTGTTCCAGGTACTGTGTGAAGGAAAGTGAGGGAAATGGATTAGCAATTCATTGTACCAATGTCAAATAGCAAAAGGACCTGTAAGAATTTGAGATTTCATTTTTAAGTGTCAATTTCAGACTATGGTATCTTTTAAAACTTCTTATGAAATCAGTTTTTATAGGCGCAAAGATGGAAAATTCATCTCAGAACACCTGCTAGGTGCACCGGCTATTTATGACAGATTCTTGGCCCAAGCCTCATCTGTGCATTTTCAACCCAAGAACTGAATTCATGTTATTTCTTTAACCATATTTCACAGGCAAAGAAAGTGAACAGCAATATGAAGTATAGTAAAGAATTTTAAACTTTAGCATTTTTTAAGGTTTTCTTCTGGGCAACATGTGGTATTTTCTGGATGCTATGTTGAAGTTTTGAGTACAAGAGATGTGAGAATCTAAACTTAAAACTTAAGAATGATATTACTTTTACCTTAGGTTGAGTTCCTTCCAAAGCAAAGGCTAAGGCAAGACCTTGGTGCAGTCATTTTATTGGGGACATGGTCCCAGGAAGCAAGAGTGAGGATGAGCAAGCAGAGTGAAACAGAAAGAGGGAAAGTTCATTAATTCAAGTATGTGTCGCTGAGGTTTCTGCTACAGGAGCTGGGGCTCAATTCCAGGAGGACTTACTGAGAAACATACAGAACCCCTTTCAGTTGTTCACTTGTTCTCCTGTGGGTGGGAGGCTGGAACATCCTTCAGTCCCTGCCCCCGCACCAGGTAGCTCTAAGGAATTGACCTGTCAGTCACCATGGCAGCTCAATGCCCCAAGCAAAAAGCACAAAGACACCCAGTGTGTGGTCAAGGGTGGCCTGTGTCAGTAAGGTGAGTTTTGCAGACCTGTCCACAGCTGCGCAGCTAGGCTCAGAGGTGTGCTGGGAGACTGTCACACAGGCACAAGAGGCACCTCCTGTAACTTTGTTGCTGGAAGATCAAAGTGGGGAATTGGACGAGTCTTCTCTGGGGAAACTTACTCACCCAAGAAAAAGGATTCACAGATACCCGACCTATAGAAATCTCAGCGGGGCGAAGACTTACTAGTTACCTCTATTAACATGATCCCCTCTTCCTTTGCTGCAGTAAATTTCATTTGAGGTAGCAATTCATCCAGCTAAAAGACTGTTTTGTAGCCTCGCTTATGGCTAGATATGGCCATGTGTTTAATTTCTTGCCAAAAAGTGTAAGCAGAATACTGTATGGGCTTCTAGAAAGAGACTGGGCATTTACTTTCTCTTCCTTCCTCTTTCCTGCTGCCCGTATGTGCTAAGTCACTTCAGTTGTGTTCGACACTGTGCAACCCCATGGACTGTAGCCTGCCAGGCTCCTCTGTCGTGGGATACTCCAGGCAAGAACACTGGAGTGGGTTGCCATTTCCTTCTCCAGCTGCCTGTAATGCAGATGCAGCTGCAGAAGCTTGAGAAGGCACCTGGACTGTGAGGCACTGGCCCTGAGAGATGGTGTTGCCAGGTGTCTGCTGCCTGCATCCCTGATGATGTGGTATTGTCACACAAGCCTTGGACGACCAAATCTGGACTTCTCTCATGTGAGGGAGAAAGAAATGTTTCTTAATCATTTGGTACTTGGATTTTTTCTATTACATTTCAACCAAATAGTCCAACTAATAGATCATATGAAGTGTCTGGAACCCACCCTACCACCCTGCAGTGCAGGTCATTGACCAGCAGCCCTGCCAAAGCACACATAGCTTCCAGCCAGCTTTCTTGTCTCTCAATATTAAACAGATTGCAGATCACATCTCCAGACATTTTTTAAAAAGCTTCTAATATCAAAAACAGACACCAAAACAGACATTTTGAAGAAATACAGACAATCCTGGAAGCAAAAGAAAATGTCAAAATAAATGAAAAAATACTTAACATTCTTTAAAAGTAAGACACAGCTTATGTCCCAAAAAAATTAACAAAATACAAAAACATAAAAAAATAAAAGGATACTCAGAGAACTAGAAAGAGCTCTTGGACATTAAAAATATAACTAAGATAAACTCATTAGGTGAGCTGGAAATAAGGGTGATGGAAAGTAATAAAGGATATATTAGAAACACAGAGATTCAACCCAAGAATTCCAATAGCTATATATTCCAGAAAGGAAAAGAGGAAACTAGGTGGAAAGAAATTATCAAAGAAATAATAGAGGAAAATTTCTTTGAAGTTTTCATAATGAAAGAGCTCTCTTATTGCCAAGCAATGTTAATGCAAAAAGACTCACATTAAGAGATATCTTTATAACATTTCAGAATACCTGGGTAAAGAGACTTCCAAAATTGTTCAGAAATAAAAAGAAACATACCAAGAATAAAAGGCTTTTCAACAACAACTCTATATTCTAGAAAAAAAATGGAACAGAAACTTCAAAATTCTAAGGCAGATTGATTTCAGCCTGATATTCCATAACCAGGCACACACTCTATAGAGTGCGAAGACAGAATAAAGGGTATTCTAGACATGAAAAGACTCAAGACATGCACTTTCCTTGCACCCTTTCTGAGACCCCCACCCCTACATGTGCATTTGCTGCAGTGCGGTCAGACCTCCTACAGCTCATCTCTGCCGTGGTTCCTGCTTCCCGTGGCCTCCCTCCACTCATATGCCTTCTCCTTTCCTCTGTGAGAACCAATCCTACACACTCTTTAAGAGGCAGTGCAAGCTCAACCTGCTTGAAGCCTGTAGACCACACTCATCTGTAGTGATCTTTCCACCTTTTGGGCCATTTCAGCCTTCAGACTCTACTGTGCATTTTGCCACTTTTCTCCATTTTATCTAATGTTAGTCTGTGTATGTGTCTGAATTTTCCAACAAGTTTGGACCAGTGTCTTATTCTTTCTTGCATTAATAGTGACAGCAAATCGTGAGTGCTCAATAAACATCTCTTATTTACTCAGTTAATTAGGATAATCTGATTCCTAAATAAATTGTCTTTTCGCGATACCATGCCTTTTCTTTTTTTGAAAAACAGACATGCCTTGTTTATTAGAAGACAGGAAGTAAGGAAGTATCTGTATCAAGAGCAAGACAACAGGTGAAATCATATTCCTCAGAAGAAGCAAAAAATTACAATTTTGCAAGCATATCAGGTGATTACAACAAAAGATAAAATTTTTGCAAAGAAAATTATCTTGTTATACAAATATTGTGGGCTTTCGTTCAAATGAAAATTATTCAACTCACAAGAATTTATGTATAGGAAAGCCTCCAACTTTACAAGGACAAAAGTAGCTTGGAGCCTCAGTTCGTATTATTTTAAATTCAGTAATAGCAGTGACTATATTTACCAAACAAATCGTAGATCATGATTGTGAAATCAAGTCAACCTAAGAAAAAAAAAAGCATATCATGACACACTCCATGGCAAATGTCCTTTTCTGTTTTTAATTAAAGGATAACACAAGCCGATTCATGCCACGTCTCACTATTATTTTCTAAATTCTATGCAAACAGAACGAGGCTTCAACTGGAGAGAGAGGAATGAAGAACCCTCTTCTGCTTTTGGTCTTTGTAACACTGTCCTCTGCATTTCCTGTAGACCAAAGGATGGAAGGCGATGAAAATCTGCAACTGACTCAGGTACTGTCTCAGTAAATGTCATTCGTGGCTATCCATAAAAATTTCACTTTACTGATTGTCCAAGCACCTAAAAAGACAGCTCATTCTTACCAAAGAGTCCTGAACTTTTTTGTGAGGAGCCGATTTTCCTTTCCTTGGCCCTAAAGACATTAGGAATGGTCGGGGGTGGAGAGTGGCGTGGGCTGGGAGAAAGGCAGGCTATTTAAGCATTGGATACAAGTGAGGAGAGAGTGAGCAGAGAAATGGTTAGCTCTGCAAGAATGGAGATCTCTGTAAAAGCATCTGAAGACCAGCCAGGGGGACCCAACTGTAGTTTGGAGCTCCTTATCCTACATGCAAGAACCCCACACTGCTTTGGAGATTCCCTCTAAAAATCAATCCAGTTCATATTTGATGAAATTACTTAAATGTGATTACATGTTAATAATCATATTTTCTCCATAATTTATTTCAAGGAAACATAAAATGAAAGTAACAGTAAAAATGTGTATGACACAAAATCATTCAACACACAGAAGGCTGCTTTTGTCTGTTAAAAGTTTGGGATCCCATAGCTCTATGGGTTTAGCCGGTTCTGGTCACACACAGCTCAATGAGCTCTTGGAAACTGAAAAAAAGGGTAACTCTTCTCTTTCCTCTTTGTCTTCTTCCTCTCCCCTTCCTTTCCCTTGTTATTTATTTCTTTTCCCTCCTACTGCCGAAAAAGGATCTTGGAAAGTTTGGTTATCCTGAGATGGAGGTCTGCTCTCCTGTAGTCTGTACCTTTTTTTGTCTTTTCGGTCAGGCATATCTCAACCAGTTCTACTCTCTTGAAATAGAAGGGAGTCATCTTGCTCAAAGCAGTAACAGAAGTCTCATAGATGGCAAAATTCGTGAAATGCAAGCATTCTTTGGATTGACAGTGACTGGAAAACTGGACTCGAACACTCTGGAGATCATGAAGACACCCAGGTGTGGGGTGCCTGACGTGGGTCAGTATGGCTATACTCTCCCCGGGTGGAAGAAGTACAACCTCACCTACAGGTAATGCTTCTACTCTTAATCTAAATGAATGTGAATATTATCTCTAAGAAGCAAAGATAATAATGGCTTATTTTACCCAGCACTTCCTGTGTGCATTGTACTTGATAGGTTTTATTTTTCCCACCCTCTCAAAAAACTTGTGACATAGGCACCCCTGTTATTACCACTTTAAACACAGGAGAAACTGGAAGGAAAAAGAAAAAGCTTGTTTAGCATAGTCCAGTTTGCACAGCTCGTCTCAGCAGACTGGCTCTGCAAATATGCTCTAATCTCTAGCCTCTGCCTTCTCCATAGAAACTCAGGACCAGAACCACTATGGTCTGACTGCAGATGCTTAAAGGTACACTTGAAGTGTGCTCAAGGGAAAATGAGAAAATGAAGTACAACCAGCTCATGCTGGAGACATGTATGAGTTATATAGTCAAATCTCAGGTGGACCTCAGATATCACAAACAAAGGAGCTGGCTTATCGGCAGAAAGGTGTTGAAGGGTACCTGTGACCTGAGATAGAGGCAGTGGCCTTGACCACTGCTCTAGAGCTCTCCTGGCTGGCCTTAAAAAGTCTAATAGTCCTTCCTTCTTCTTGAGCTTTAGGGGTTGAGGTAAAAGTGGGTTTAGCAAAACAGAATATAAACAAAAGGAAGATCTTTTCCTGAGAAACAAACTCTTTGTGGCTCTCAAGTGAGACTTAGTATATGACACATGCATAAAACTGATTTCTATAAGCTGTTTGAGAAAATGAATCTCAGTTCTTTTCAGAATCTATATATCATACAGTCATATACACAGCAAATCCAAGCATAAAATGAATGATCTTCCACTTAAGATGTGACCTTAGGGAAGTCATTTAACCTCTTAGAGCCTCATTTGTCAACGTGTGATAATACTACCTGATGAATAGCACAGATGAAAGTCTGAATTATTAACATATAGCATATGTAAAAGTACCTAATTTGAATGGTAAAGAATTGTACAAATCTAGCGATAGCACCATACCAAAAGTTACTGCACCATGTGATGGATAAGACAGAAAGTATTTTCTTTTCCTAGTATATGTGTTTCCATGCTTGTATAACAGCCAACTGATATATATCTGTTAATTTGTAAGAATTGTAAACTACACTCCTGATATGGCTCGAGCTGATGTGGATGAGGCTATCCAAAAAGGTTTAGAAGTGTGGAGCAGAGTCACTCCGCTAATATTCACCAAGATTTCCAAAGGGATCGCTGACATCATGATTGCCTTTAGGACCCGAGGTAAGGTTTTCCGCAGAGAAAGCAATATGGCTATTTTCATCTCGGGAGCTTTGACAAGGCTGATCTTCCCCCTCTGTGACTGTTTCCCAGTCCATGGTTTGTGTCCTCGTTACTTCGACGGCCCCTTGGGAGTCCTCGGCCACGCCTTTCCCCCTGGTCTGGGACTGGGTGGAGACACTCACTTTGATGAGGATGAGAACTGGACCAAGGATGGAGTAGGTGAGCCCAATTTTCTTTATGAACAAAATGTTACTATTCATACAAATCCCTGAAAGGAATAGCTTTGCAATTAGTTGCTTTTTACTTCCCAGTTTCCCTATGATGTTTCATATTCCAGATGACATTGATGAAAGTGTTCAATGTCTATTCAGACAGCTATGCTTGTATGGTTCAGAGCTTTATCCACACAGCACTTTCATAAAGCCACTAATCCTATTACAATCAGAACATTCTTCCCTTACTCATTTATTCATTCATACATCTGCAATGTCTGAAGGGCCACTACGAGTCTGGAACTATGCAAGGTGTAGTGAAGACCACAAAGTTGTTCCAGAAAAGTTCAGAGTTTCATGATCTTGGGTGATGTATAAGGCCTAGACCCACTCACCACCATAAAAGGCAAAAAGGGCTATGTATTACACCGATGGCAGAGGTCATCTCTAGCTTGAGGATTGAAAGAAGACTCTGGGAGGTGGTAATTCCAAGCTAGTGATTGAAGGAGGCTATGTGGATACATGGTCCATAGGACGTCCATTTATATACATGAACCTCTTCTAACTCTTGCTTGTCTACCAAAGAATTAGACCCTGGTCTTTATATTTGATTTTTTGTTTTTTCTTTTTGTTTTTTTTTTTCCATTTATTTTCATTAGTTGGAGGCCAGTCACTCCACATCATTACAGTAGTTCTTGTCATACATTGAAATGAACCAGCCATGGATTTACATGTATTCCCCATCCCGGTCCCCCCTCCCACCTCCCTCTCCACCCGATCCCTCTGGGTCTTCCCAGAGCACCAGGCCCAAGCACTTGTCTCATGCACCCAACCTGGGCTGGTGATCTGTTTCACCCTAGATAATATACATGTTTCAATGCTGTTCTCTTGAAACATCCCACCCTCGCCTTCTCCCAGAGTCCACAAGTCTGTTCTATACATCTGAGTCTCTTTTTCTGTTTTGCATATAGGGTTATCGTTACCATCTTTCTAAAGTCCATATATATGTGTTAGTATACTGTAATGGTCTTTATCTTTCTGGCTTACTTCGCTCTGTATAATCGGCTCCAGTTTCATCCATCTCATTAGAACTGATTCAAATGAATTCTTTTTAATGGCTGAGTAATATTCCATGGTGTATATGTACCACAGCTTCCTCATCCATTCCTCTGCTGATGGGCATCTGGGTTGCTTCCATTTCCTGGCTATTATAAACAGTGCTGCGATGAACATTGGGGTTTCTTTAGACCATGGGCAGTGATTTTATTTCTGTTAATGGGCCTCCCTGGCATAAAGAAAAGAGATATTCTATTATGTTTCAAATAAAAAAACAAAACTTTGTTAAAGTGAAAATACATACCTCTAACAAAGGAGCAGTTCAGTAGACTCTCAGTTTCTCCCTAATTTTTTTTTTTTTTTCTATCATTGACCACAGTCATCGTGTCTCTGGTTTCTGGTTTCCAGGGTTCCAGGAAAGAGGATGCTGTGGTTTTCTGGTGGGTGGTACGCAAGGCCACAATTCAGTCCTGACCACATAACTCTATGGAGCCTGTGAGTCAGTCATAGTTTCTGCAAAACTGAAAGCCAGTGACTCAAAATGATGCATGGGTTCTCCTTGCTAAGTCTGAGCACGTGATGGAAGTGTTCTTCCAAGAGCTAGGAAACAAAGAGGGGGAGGGACTCCGTGCTGGCTGGACTTCAGGGGGAATTTGAGTTGGCTGCTGCACTTCCACATGAGGTAACATTACAGCCAGGAAAGTGAAAGAGGTAGGGCGACCCCAGGATCCAAATGACAGGGGAGTTGGAGACCGAGTCCATCTCCCGCTGAGACGTCTTCCAGTGTTTTCCTGGATTTGGCCTAAAGGTCGCATGGATACATCCAATCAGGCAGGTTAGGAAATACTCTAGTGCTCACCGAAGTCAGAATGACTCCCCTCACTCAGCCAGGCTTTACTTGCATATCTAGAAGCAGAGATTAGTCTCAGGTTTCACTGTCATTCTTTAAAAATATTTATTTATTTATATTTAGCTGTACTGGGTCTTACTTGCAGCAAGTGGGCTCAGTTGTTCCATGGCGTGTGAGATCTTAGTTCCCTGACCAGGAATTGAACTCATTTCCCCTGCACTGCAAGGCAGAGTTTTAACCACTGGACCACCAGAGAAGTCCCCTCATTATCATTTTATCCCCATTAGTTCCAGTTTGTTGCTGTTTGTCGCTAAGTTGTATCCGACTCTTTTGCCACCTGGTTGACGGTAGCCCACCAGGCTCCTCTGTCCCTGAGATTCTCCAGGCAAGAGTACTGGAGTGGGTTGCCATGCCCTCGTCCAGGGGATCTTCCCAATGCAGGGATTGAATCCATGTCTCCTGCACTGGCAGGCAGATGCTTCCCACCTGGGAAGCCCATTAATTCCAACACTTAGTGGTAAAAGTACTATTCCCCACACTGCAACTGGCCCCTTGCCAAAGGGGATGTGTGGAATGGATTATGAAAAAATCCAGAGGGTCCTGGGCTCCAAGTTGGCAAAACTTGCCTGAGCAAAGCAGAGGATAAACATAGCACTCCATTAAGTTCTGGGTGGATAGCCAGGCAACAAAACTAAAAAGTGGTGTTTTGTAACTGCTTTATATAATATATTCCCTCAGGGTTGAAATTATTGGCCCTGGGGGATCCCTAATCTTGTAACTCTCAGCTTTCTGACCTACATGGGAAAATGTTTTCCTGTTCTCTAATAAAAATGTAAAATCTCAAGCATCTGTAACCTCTAATCAAATGTATTTTTTAAAATAGAAAATTTGGCAATAATGTATAATATATGATTACTTTTTTATGTATATGTGGGCTCTCTTTATGCAAAGGGCACAAAAGTCTTAGTGTAACTCCGTCAAAAGCCATAGATAGCAGTCAATCTGCTAATCCCACTGCTCCCTAAGGGGTTGGAAGTCACTGCACAGTGATATCAGAGAGACTTAAGCACATGGAGAGGGTTTCCTGGGAATCTCCCAAAGTGAGGCTAGTTTCAAACCTGTGTGTGAATGTAAATCCTTCATGCATGCACTGACACCAGGCAACGGAAGCAGACCTCAGAGACCACTGCAGGCGCAGGGCTGGGACGGAGCAGAGCGATGGTCTGTGGCATGGGGGAGCTTGCATGCAGCAAGATGACACAACTTATCTGCAATAAAGGCAGAAAAACCTTGCAAGGCACCAGTCCTTAGCAAACATTCAGAAAGTGTTTGACACTGATAATTATGTTGGTGATTATTAATACTAATGATAATGGTGATGATTAAGTGATTTCTAGGAGAAAAAAAATTCACAAAGGTACTGATGTTTAATGCCCAAACTTATCTATTTAGTTGCATCTCCAAGAAGGCAGAAATGAAATCTTTTTTCTACTGTATCATACATCCTATAATATTCAGTACATGAGAAATGTTCTACAAATAATAGTAAATGAAACCTTTCAACAATCCTTTACTCAGAATCTACTCTAATCCACGCTCTGTAATAGAAATGGAATATACAATAGTGTACAAGACACAGACCCTGCTCTCTAGGGGTTTACAGTCTAGATGGTACACTCTATCAAATGGCATTTAAAGTTAGTATGATCAACCTTGGGATAAAAGGAACTATGGTAATGTAATAGGAGCACCTAAAAGAAATTCCAGCCCATATACAGAGGTCAGGGAGGAAGTGACGCCAACTGAGACTTGAAGGCTATGCAGGAATTCTGAAGCAAAGTGGAGTAAAAAGTGTTCTAGACAGGATAACCCGACCAACTCAGGTACTAGAATTGTAATGGAGCAGAAGGCTAAAATGGTGTAGGTTAGAATCCTATACAGAGGGTCTTAGAGACACAGTAAAAGTTTGCACTTCGTTTAGACGATCTGAGTTTCAATTACTTTTTTAAAGAGTCACTTGTCCCATCCCTGTCCAAAAGCACACACAGTGATATTGCGAGCCAGACAAGGGGAGGCAGCAAAAGCCAGAGCAAAAAGCGTGAGAGTCCATGAAATAATTCTTTGCCTTTCCATATTTGTTTTATGCAAACATCACTGGACAAGGCTCCATCACAAAAGGCTCAGCATTTTCCTTAGTATCCATAGGCTTAGCTGCAAGTCCAAGGACAGTCTTTTTTATATTCTTAGGAGCTTACAGACTGTAGGAGAGACAGACAAATAAAAGGGCAATTCCAACCATGCATGGTATGACTTCTGGTGTGGGTAAGTACAGGGTACTACAGTCTTGTCCAGGAGGAGCATCTAACCATCCTTTCATCCAAATAAAAGACTGGATATCCAGCACCCATTACTAAGCTGTTTATCAGTCCCCGGGAAGATGATTAAGACATGGTCTCTGGACTGAAAGGGTGCACACTTAGTGAAAGAAAGAAAGAAAGCAGTACTTATTTGCAAAGACAGAATTAAGCTCAGTCTATAGAAATGGAGAGAGGTGCAATTAAGTCAACGTGGATAGGAGCTGGGGGAAAGAAGTTTCGTAAAGGAGATGATTCTGAAGGGGATTCCTAAGGACTAAGTAGGACAGATGAGTGAAAGGGGGTGAGAAAGGTTATACTCCAGACAAGAAGTGATAGAGATACAAAGACACAGATTAAAAAAAAGCATGGCATAGGTGAGAAATGCAAATGATTCCACATGGCTAGCTCAGGTAAAACGAAAATAAAATATGAAGCTGGGGAAAAAAGCAGGGACTAGTTCGTGGAAGGCCATGTTTAAGTATTTGGACTTGATCCTACAGCCAATGGAGAATCTCTGAAGCATATAAGTAGGGGAAATATGATCACATACAGACACCTAACAACAACCCAAAACTGGTGGCTTTTTTTTTTTCCCCCACTACTATCCATTTTGAGACACCTGTTTTCTGCCATCTGCTTGCTCTGGGGTACATTTCTCCATGATGTGACTAATACCAATTATCAATGTTGAAAAATTTCCCAGATAAATGATGGTTCATATGTTATGACAAGCCTTTTTTTCATTTCTCTCAGTTACTTCCTAATCTCAGATGCAATCATTATCCTGATTGGCTAATATACTCATGTTTTCCCTGTTTTTGTTAAGGATTCAGCTTGTTTCTTGTGGCAGCTCATGAATTTGGTCATTCACTGGGGCTCTCTCACTCCAGTGATCAAACAGCCTTGATGTTCCCAAACTACGTCTCCTTGGATCCTAGCAAATACCCACTTTCTCAGGACGATATCAAAGGAATCCAATCCATCTACGGTGAGCAACAAATCTGGATATATGTGAACTGAACTGAAGGCTTTCAGGAAGGAAGTTGAGAAAAATCACTTCTTGAAATATTATTCTGAAGAAAATATTCTCTTGGGAAAGATCTTTCTGTAGGTATTTCCACATGCCTTCTTAACTCACTGAGGTATTTCTTTTCTCATCAAAGGAGGGCCACCTAAGTTACCTGTGAAGCCAAAGGGACCCACTGTACCTCATGCCTGTGACCCCAATTTGACTTTTGATGCTATCACCACTTTCCGCAGAGAAGTAATGTTCTTTAAAGGCAGGTAAACCCATTCCCTTAAACACCTCAACTTCCTGTGAAGTTTTTCTTTTCAGATTTGGGGATAAGGGGGTTGTTGGGATAGTGAGAATGTGTCTTTGCTTTTTGTTTTATAACTGTCTACATAGCTTGAATGTTTTACTCTGTGCACATATCTCTTACCTGTTTGATAAATTATTTTTTTAAATGGTAATTATCTGCTTAATTTTTTGAGTAACTGCCATTCCACTTTCCATAGAGGCGGCACCATTTTACATTCCTACCAGTAACAACCAATGTTCTAGTCTCTCCACATCCTCACCAATATTTGTGTTCCGTTTTTCCATCCCTGCTGATGTCACCTCTAGGAGAATGTGTTCTGTGACATTTCTCTCTACCCTCCCAGGTAGAGGTGAGCCGCTCTTTCCTCTGTGATACCATTGTTTTCACTTACACCCCATCCCTTCCCCTATCAGTCGTCCAGTCGCTCTTGTCAAGTCCTACTGCACATACATCTATGGGCTATACCCACTCCCTTCTCTCTGTCTGCACCACCATCTCCAGCTCATCCAAACTACCATCATTTCTCATCTCCTACTCCAGAAGCCTGTTTATTGGCCTGCTTGTTTCTGCTCCCATCTTTCATACATGCAATAGCCAAAGGGATCTCACATTGGTAAATTAATTTTTAAATGTTTTTAAGCAAAGTTTTAAATTTCCATTGAACCAGAGTCTACTTTCAGTAACCTCTTAGCTAAAATAATACCCCAATCCCAACCATGTCCTGGACCTGGCTTATACCATTTTAGGATCCAATTATTAAATTTTCAAGAATTTTGTAAACTAGCTCATATTGATTTAGTAGCTTGAAATTGGCCTTGGTTGGAGTACCTACACCCTGAAAATCACCAAATGATAAAAACTAGGTCTTTTTCCCACCTGGAGAGCCAGTTGTGAAATATGCATCAGTGGACCATTCCTCGAAGTTGAATCAACAAAATGTTAGCTGCGGTAGGAAATCTCTTCTCTCACTCTGTAATAACTGCACTTAACTTGCAACATGGTCTGTCAGTTGTGTATACCGTGGCCACACTTTCAGAGCGAAGTGTCAGGACATACACCATCTGACAAGGATATGGGGGCAAAGGGAAAGAATATGTGAAATCAGACTCCTTCCACCCATGACCACGTGGCACAGTTCATGGGGTCACAGAGTCAGACACACCTTAACAACTGAACTACAACAGCAGTGACATGCTGTCATACCATGCTCCTAATAGCTGAGGCTGAAAGACCACGTGTCAGGGATGGGTTCCCAGCATGAGAAGAAAAATGAACTATAAGGACTTTTCAGGTCTTGCTCACAGGCTCAGAACTTTGCAGTCAGAAAGGAAATCTGAGGAAATATTTAGCAATGACAATAATAACATGTTTTAATTCTAGCAATCAATACCAGAAATGTTTTCTTAGAATGCTTGGTGTTGGCTTAGAATATTGGGAATTGTTGCTTTGGCAAAAATGAGGTGGCTGAGTATACTGAGAACTGTTAATGAGACTTCCATGAGTGGTTTGCTACTCTAACCACCCAGAAGAGTGGGCACAAAGGCATGTCCGGACTTTGGCGGTCCAAAGGGTAGGACTGAACTCATGACCACCTAAAATTGCTGAGGAAAATTGTGTTAATGCTATAAATTGTTTGAGGAAAATATCGACCAATTAGATAAAGTCAAGTCTAAGTTTGTAGTGGTTTCATTGAAATAGATACACATAGACTGTATATAAAGTATGGTTTCCTGTCTAACACAGGCACATATGGAGGATCTATTATGACATCACTGACGTTGAATTTGAATTAATCTCTTCATTCTGGCCATCTCTGCCTGCTGATATTCATGCTGCATATGAGAACCCCATCGACAAGATTCTGGTTTTTAAAGGTAACGTTGCCTATCACTACGCCTCTTCTCCTTATGTATGCCTGAACTAGTTAGCAGATACTTTAATTCAAGGAATATAATCTTCATGCATGAGCCAAAAGGACAGGGCTTCCACTCTGACCTTAAGTTCCTATTATAAGAACAACTATCCAAGGATTCTTTCTGGCTATAAAGATAAAACACCATCCCAAGTGCACAGGAGAACAGAAACCTGTGTAACAAAAACGAAAAAGTCTTTTTTTTCTGCCAAATAAAGTTAACCCATCTCTCTTCTTATATTCCCTTTTTACTAGGGTTGCTAGATGTGGCAAATAAAAATACAAGATGCTTTGAATTTCAGACAAATAAAAAATAACTTTTTAGTTTAATTGTGTCCATTGTAATATTTTGGATATATGTATACCAAAAATTAGTCACTGTTTACTTGAAATTCAGATTCAGATTCAATTGGTATCTTATATTCAATCTAGCAACCCTGCTTTTCAGGTGGATTTTATCAGATTACTTGCCTTTGAGAACACGAGGGTGTGGAAATTTAGGAGAACAAATATACTCGACGGTTTTGTCAGAATTAGAAAAGAATCAATATAATGAACTCAACTGACCAGGGTATGCATACTATTAACTACGAAAGTGAGAGTGAAAGTGTTAGTGGCCCAGTCGTGTCTGACTCTGTGTGACCCCATGGACTGTAGCCTGCCAGGCTTCACTGTCCATGGAATTCTCCAGGCAAGAATACTGGAGCAGGTAGCCATTTCCTAGGTATATATTATTTGTGTAGTATTAATGATATTTAAGTAGCTAAAGAATGCGGTAAGAATAAATGAAGACACAAGATAACTAAATCTTTAAGATTTGAACCTGAAAGGAACTAGGAATCTAATTATTTTCAAACTTCTTAAGATGCCTGTTTCTCCCTTTAGGAAATAAATCAGAAAATACTGACTCTCCCTCTCATCCTAGATGACAACTTCTGGGTGATCAGAGGATATGCTGTCTTACCGGATTATCCCAAATCCATCTATACTCTTGGCTTTCCAAGACGTGTAAAGAAAATTGATGCAGCTGTGTGTGACCACAGCACAAGAAAGACCTACTTCTTTGTGGGCATTTGGTGCTGGAGGTAAGTTTGCTGACAATTGGCCCCTTGTTTTATTCTGGAGAAAAATAGCCACAAAGCATCACTTTAACACGGTCTTCCAAAAGTGTATTCACCAAACAAAAGAATGTTTCAGTCAGGTCAAAGATCTTTCTCCAGCTTATAAAAATAAAGAGGGTGGGATGTTTCAAGAGAACAGCATTGAAACATGCATATTATCTATGGTGAAACAGATCGCCAGCCCAGGTTGGATGCATGAGACAAGTGCTCAGGCCTGGTGCACTGGGAAGACCCAGAGGGATCGGGTGGAGAGGGAGGTGGGAGGGGGGATCGGGATGGGGAGCACATGTAAATCCATGGTTGATTCATGTCAGTGTATGACAAAACCCACTACAATATTTTAAAGTAATTAGCCTCCAACTAATAAAAATGAATGAAAAAAAAATTTTTTTAAGATAAAATAATAAGACTGGTGGTGCCAACCAAGCTGCCAGTGACAAACATATTCAGTCAAAATCGTTGAAACTCTGGAAAGAGTCCTTTGATTTAACAGTTCCTCAGAATAGTATTGATCTGACAAATTATGTGGCTTTTTTCCCTCATAATTTCTTGTTTTCAAGACACTGTCAGTGATCTGACTGAACATACTCTTTGCCATTTTTTAACTACTGATCCAACTAGTTTTCTTCCAATAGGGCTACTCTTTTTATACATCTTTTCTTGACTCCAAGTTGTGCAGTAAAAAAATTAATCCTCTCCCCTTGAAGCAAAGGTCCCCTGAAAACCTTTCAAATCCACGTCTCCAGGTATGATGAAGTGACCCAAACCATGGACAAAGGGTACCCACGGAGAGTGGTAAAGTACTTCCCAGGAATTGGTCTCCGAGTGGATGCCGCTTTCCAACACAAAGGTAAGCATCAGCACCTGACTGTTAGGCTACTTAGAAGACTTTACTGACTGTGAAAGAATTCAGCATGAAAACTTAAATGTTTCCATTTTAATGTCATTTTACTGCTTTGAGTACATGTAATAATAAACTTTGAGGAACTTATCAAAATTGAATAGTAAGTTCTGAGTTATGTTCTCTGACATACAACTTCAAAACTATGCAAAAGTTACCAAAATTATCACTGATCATAGATGTCTGATAAAGATACCCCTGAAGAGTTTTAAGTGTGGAACAATGACTGAGCATCTGAACAGTGATTCTCAAGCCTCAATGTATATAGAATATACACAGTTTAGGATTTGTGTATGAAGCAACACGGAGAAGGCAATGGCACCCACTCCAGTACTCTTGCCTGGAAAATCCCATGGACGGAGGAGCCTGGTGGGCTGCAGTCCATGGGGTCGCTAAGAGTCGGGCCCGGCTGAGCGACTTCACTGTCACTTTTCACTTTCATGCACTGGAGAAGGAAATGGCAACCCACTCCGGTGTTCTTGCCTGGAGAATCCCAGGGACGGCACAGCCTGGTGGGCTGCCGTCTATGGGGTCACACAGAGTCGGACACGACTGAAGTGACTTAGCGGCAGCAGCAGCAGCATGAAGCGACTAGTTCCTTAGAGTTTCTGAGGCAGTAGGATTGTGGGTAAGATCCAGGAATCTACAGTTTTAAAAGAACCTCAGGCAAATTAATGAATCAGTCCAGCTACTATATCTTCAAAGACAACAAAGCAGACCATGGAGTAAGCAGAAGTCTAAAGATATTTTTGAGTATCGCCATCTTTTACCAGTGAAATCTAACACGGAACCTCAGAACTTAAAACAGATCAACCAGAGCAGCTCTAGGAAAATGAAATAGGGCCCAAGGCCATACTCACAGAGGCCTCTTTCTCCCCCTCACTGAGACATTGTTTGAAAATATAGTTTGAGACCCTCTGGTATAAACTACAGCCCCTTGAAATTCATGTTTCATACCTTGGCTTTTTCCTCAGGGAAATAAAACTAATATTTTTTATGTGACTGGGTAAAGTAAAATGTATGTATATAGTTACACATTTATTTTCTCTCCATATCATGTTCAATTATTGTATTCTACATTCATAAAATTGAAAAGTATGGAACAATTATACAGTTGCATAAGATAACTAATCATGATTCTCTCTCTCTAGGATTCTTCTATTTCTTCCGTAGATCAAAACAATTTGAATATGATCCTAAGGCAAAGACCGTTACCCGAATAATGAAAACCAATACTTGGCTTCGGTGTAAAGAACTGTTAAATTCATCATCTGATTTTACTATCAGTGAGGAAAAAGTACATTCAGGAGTGGAGATGTTTCATTATAAAAATTTAAATTTTCTTATTTTTAGTATTGTTCACATGATGAACAAAATCTACAGTTACCAATAAATTCATAGACCTAATATAAACCTCAAGGGATCTTTTAATCTGAACTCTGCTTCAAATTAGAACAGAACTGTTCTTTAACGTCAAGTCACCAGGCCTAGTTATAAATATCTATTGAATGAAGAGTGAAACAGCTATTTTGAGCTGCCTGATTCTTTTTACAGGAAATTATGTATAAACAAAACTCTCACTGGACTTTAAGCATATTTTATGTTTTGTAGACTTGAAGAAGTAAGCTCTGTGTCTTATAGTAACAAAATACCAAAACATTTATTAAACCAATCTTTATTTAGCATTCTATTTTGTCTGGACCTTTGGAGTTGGAGAGGCTTAATAAACTGCAACCCACATCCCTACCCATGTTTTGAATCTACTGAGAAATATACAGTTGGGAGAGTATAATACCACCTTTATTACTGAAAAGCTTATGCTAGAGAATGTATCTGTGGATGAGCAATCTTCCTGATATCAAATTCTAGAGTGAGACATACTTACTCACATGTCATGGGAAGAACTGGAAAGCACCCTGCCTCCCCAAGGAAAAGTCAGCTACCTGCAGACTGCAAGGAGCCCAAAGAGAAAGAAGTGAGGATGGAGGTACATGTACCTAGTTTCTGCTCCCAAATTCACAAATCAAATAAGCTATTCTGCCTCCTGAAGAGAGGAGCGAGAACCTAGAGAGATGCAGGAAGTGCTCCACTACAAATGACCCCCCAACAATTCAGAAACTAGCAGGAGTAGGCAAGTAATGTTCCCTCCAACCCTCACCCTCCAAGCAGAGACCATTGAACCATTCCTCAGAAAGTTTAAAAGCAAGTTTTGTGCACACTGTCCTCATATATCATATACAAGAAATGTGGAAATTTCTTGTGTTTCCTGTGTATATGGGTCATGTGTGTTCAGTCGTGTCTAACTCTTCACAACCCAGTGAACTGTAGCCCACCAGGCTCCTCTGTCCATGGGATTTTCCAGGCAAGAATACTGGATTAGGTTGCCATTTCCTTCTCCAGTTTATGGGTCATCTGTCTTTATACCTATTGGTAGAAAGTTCCTGTCCTCTGTTATACCATGTGCATGTTGGGCTTCTAAATTCTTGTGGTTAAGTTTTGCCTTTACATCCTCATAGCTAAATGCTTAGCAAAGCTCTTCACAAGTTTTGTGACCCAAAAGATGGGCGGTTGTCAGTTGAAATTGAATCTGATTAGGTGATAAATTGTGTAGGTGTCAATTGATAGAAAGTGAGAGCAGAAAATCTCAGGAATTCCTACAGCTGGCCCTCCAACTCACACACATTTCCTAAAAGAATGGGGTGTTCTTTTATCCCAAAGAAAAAAGTAGTTGCATATTTGAAACAGTAAGTTTTAAGAAGTACAGGTTAATACCTAGCATATAGGAGATAGTAGGTCAGTCTTTGGAAAAAAAAAAAATAGTGCTGGAATAATCAAATATCCAAACACATAAAAAACTTAGATTAACTCACACTGTTCACAAAAATTTACTAAAAATGGGCCATAGACCTCTAAATAGAAGAATTAAAAATATAAAGCTTCTAGAAGAAAATATTTTTAAAATGTTGTAGCTTTGGATTAAGCAAAGATTTTTAGATTTTTCAATAGGGGACATAAAAAGTGTGAGCCATAAAAGAAAAATTGGTGAATTGAACTTCATGAACATTCAAAAACTTTGCTTTTGAAACAAAAAAGAATGAAACGCCACACATTCGGAGAAAATATTTTCAAAACATGTGATAAAGTACTTATATCCTGAATATGTAAATAATTCTTACAACTCAAAAATAAGAGGACAAACAGCTCAATTTTTTCAATGGCTAAAATATTTGCTATGAGTGGCAAATAAACACATGGAAAGATATTCAACATCTCAATCATTAGGAAAATGCTAATTAAAACCACAGTAGGATACTACTACATATCCACCAGAATGATTAAAATTTAAGACTGAAGATACCAAATGTTGACAAGATGCAGAGTAACTGGAACACTCTTAGAGTGTTGGTGAGAGTGAAAAATGATGCAACCATTTTGGAAAATGGTCTGGCTGTTATAAGTTAAACACATACACATCATGTGACCCAACAACCTCACTCCTAAATGCTTAGGAAAAATGAAAACATGCTAACATAATTAGTTATACAGAAATGTTCATGATAGTTTTATTTATATGTAAAACCTGGAAACCACCCAAATGTCTATCAAACTGGTCCATCTAGACAGTGGGAAACTATTCAGCAATAAAAAACAATATATGAATGATACATGCAACAATATGGATGCATCTCAAAAGTATTATGGTAAATGAAAGCAGACACAGAAGACTTCATATCATATGATTCCATTTATATGAAAAACTTTAAAAGGCAGACTATAATGATAGAAAACAGATGGCTGGTTGCCAGTGGTCAGAAGTGAAAGAAAGGATTGACCACAATAAAATATATGTGACAGAAATGTTCAATATCATGATTATGGTGGTGGTGACACTACTGAATATATTTTTTAAAACCGTACACCTAAAATTAGTGAATTTTATTATATGCTAATTCTATTTCAACATTGCTTATTAGAAAAAGTAGTGCAGCTTAGTAGTTAACATTGGGCTTCTCAGGGTGGCGCCAGTGGTAAAGAACCTGCCTGCCAATGCAGGAGACATGAGATGGGGGTTCGATGCCTGGGTCAGGAAGATCCCTGGAGGAAGGCATGGCAACCCACTCCAATATTCTTGCCTGGAGAATTCCACTGACAGATGAGCCTGGCGGGCTAGAGACCATAGGTTTTTTTGAAGAGCCAGACATGACTGAAGCAACTTAGCATGCATGCAGATTTTCAAATATTCATCAAACTTCCTTTGTTTCCTTACATCTGTTCTCGGTTCTGTGGCATAAACACCTGGGGTATTTAGCATCTGAAATTGCTTATATTGATTGCAATATATATTGATTACTCCTTAATTTTCAACTTTCTCCTTTCTTCTTAATTTTCAACACTTAAATCTAAATATAGGAATATCTAAAAACAGTTTTCCAAAGAATCTATGTTGACTATTAGAGCTTTATTAAATATTTATAAGTATAACTCAAAGATCAGCTGATTTTATTCATTCTTTGAAATTTTAAGGAACGTCATTTTGAAAAGCCTCTGGAGTTTTCTAAGGCCCTCCAGCAAGCTATTGGGGAAAAAAATTCATATTCTTAATGTTCTTTAGCCAACCCACCTCCAGTCATCTCACCAGTCACTTCTCCCCTGGATTCCACCCTCCTGCTCCTCTGTCTGACCCCCTCTCTGCTTTGCCCTCTGTGAGGAACCCCAGCTCCTCCTTACTGAATTATTTCTCTCTTTAAACATAAAGCAGTTAAGCTGTAACTTCATTTGCTGTCTCTTAAACATGCCATCAGGGCCTCCCTTTACTTGGAAAAGCAGCTTATTTTTTTCTCCAAGAGAAGAGGACCAAAACGCACTTTGAGCTTGCTTCATAAAGAAGATGATTTGGTTTCCCTTCACCAGCTTGGAGGCTGGGGAAGAGTATGCGCTCAGGAGCCAGGTTGCTTAGACTTGCAGCCCACTTCCTCTGCTTAGCAGCTGTGGAAGCTTGGGCAAGTTACTGACTTCTCTAGACCTTGGCTTCTCCATTTGTGAAAGGAGAACAGGAAGGGACCCAGATGCTGAACCAGTCACATACAGCATGTAGAATTAGCACTTGAGACACACTGCTTGATAACTGTGAGCCATCATTATTGGAACTAGGCAAATTAAACTGTTTATCCAACAGTAAGTTAAACAGTTTATCCAAAAGTACAAACAATTGGAAAAACTAGAAGCCTGCTATAAAATACACTTACTGGGGATAAATTAACTGGAAGAACAAACTTTGTTCCAGTTTGCTGTGTCCTTTCTGGTTTTCTCAAGGACCTGTGCTCAGGTTTTCGAAGAAAGAAACAGCTTTAAAAACAAGCATGAACAAGACTATGTTAACAAGTATTTACTCATTTTGGAGATTTGAGCAGCTGAGATGGAACAGAATTAAATTCACACGCAGAGAATGTTTTGAATTATTCTTGCTTTGGGACAAAGAAAGAAGCTCATCATAATCTTTCTGTTATTCATCATGGACGGACTCTCCTTAAGAGTGTCATCTAAATGAATCATCTGTCCCAGAGGAAAACGCGATGATTTGTTGTTTTTGGTTTTGGTCTTGAAGTTATTTTGAATTCAACATCTCCTTAGGTTGAAATTCAGTCCCTTGTTTGTCTTCAGGTATAGACAATCTTAAAAAGGAAGATCAACACCTACAAAATATTTTCCACATACTGAAACTGGTCACAAAATCATTCATTTTGGGTCTTTATTCACTCCCCAATACCACTATCTATCTGCAGTTTCCACAAGAAAAAAAAATAAAAATCCACTTTGAACCACTTAGAAGTTTATCTCTAGGAACATCAAGAAAATATAAGATAGTTAACAATGAATTCAAAATCTCCTTACGGTTGTAAGTTCCCAGAACAAAGAAGTGTTTCTGTCTGACCACTATGTATAGTTTTATGCAGTATTTATTGCTTAATTGACCATAAGCCAGATTTTAATTTAATCTTGAGCTTTGATTAATTAATGATTTTTGTCCATTTTTGTGAATTATAGTGCTCAGTTTTATTAGTAACAAATAGGAGCATTTATTTCAAAGTTCTTGTATTTTTTATCACACTGAGTTCAGAATTTCAAGTTTCTTGAACTATTCGTAAAACTGAGAAGCAAAGTACTTCAAATAGGAAATTTCAACTGACGAATTCATGAAGTTGAAGTGGAGAAAAAATGGGTCTAAAAACCTCAAGAAATATGATACTAAGGATCTGAAGGAACTATATATGAAAACGCGTCTTAGATGGTAAGATTTTCAAGCCAACCTGATCTGATCTTCTCAGGAGTCTTGTGTTAAAAAATCTGTTGAGATCACCAGCCCAGGTTGGGTGCATGAGACAAGTGCTCGGGCCTGGTGCACTGGGAAGACCCAGAGGGATCGGGTGGAGAGGGAGGTGGGAGGGGGGACCGGGATGGGGAATACATGTAAATCCATGGCTAATTCATTTCAGTGTATGACAAAAACTACTGTAATGATGTAAAGTAATTAGCCTCCAACTAATAAAAATAAATGGAAAAAAAAAAAAAAGAAAAGAATTAGGAATATAAAAAAAAAAAAAACTGTTGAGGTGGATTTCATCGAAGATGGCACATTGTTATTTTTCACGTAACACTTACCTGGGTATTATAATTGCTAATCAGTCTCAACTATTCAACATATCTAATGCCTGCTGTAAATCAGAT